TTCAACCCGCGTCCCATATCGAAGACGTTTCTCCTCATGGCGACGATTTCTGACATGATCTGGTTCAAGACTCGCCTGACAAAGCCAACCACAGCGGCTACCAGTGTACGAGAGTGGCCGAGCAGAGCACATGGGCCCAGGTGTGACGAGGAAAGGCGCCTCGCGGTCGGAGGGTTCGGAAGCCGGCAGGGAAGACGGGATCTAAAGGCCTCACAGCGGCATTCGTTGTAGCAGAATGCCACCTCACGCTGACCTGATGGTAAAAAGAGGGTAAAGAGAGAGAGAAACCCCTGTTCGTGTGTGTATCTTGCGCACGGCATTTCACATGGTCCAGCGGCTCCTCGACGCCCTGATTGGCCAAGCCACCACATGCCCAACCACCGGGGGGGCCAATCGGGCGGCCCCTCTATGCCGGGACGCTCCAAGCTTCCCACCCGGGCGCTTACAGCTAGGTGACGGCGCACCACCCGGGCCTCTTATTGGGCCGTTGGGAGGGTGAGCATGCGCGACCCTGGATCATGGCACGGCTTGGGGGCGGCTGCGAGAGGAGAAACAGGTGCCAGAGGGATCGCAGAGCGCGAGTTCACAGAGGCAAGAGAGGCTCGCGGGCCTCTCACAGCGCTTCTCCTCCAGGGGTGTGCCCGCCCCATCACACCCGTCGGGTCCAACCCATCTCCGCCCGGCCACATCATGGCCCTCCCTTAAACGCCATGCCCGCCCCCAAACTGCGACTGGGCTCTTCCTTTCTTCACCTGGGACGAACTGATTGACCCAAGACGAGACCCGAAAGCAAACCACGAACAGCCTGCACCGACGCGGCCTCCAACGACTGACGACCGACGAAAGCTCGATATCGAAATCGACATCGACAGCGATATCGACAGCGACAAGGACAGCGACATCGCCCAAGCTGCCTCTTTCTTCCCATGCGGACTTGATCTACAGCTGCTTTCACCAGCAGCCAGCCGGCCAAACCACAAAGGAACTCAACTCGCCAGCGACTCTTGTCTCGAGCACGCTTTGATAGCGACCACGGCAAGCTCCCAGAACCACCCAGCCACCTTCAAATCCAACCTCACCACCAACACCGCCCAAAATGCCCGTCACCTTCTTCACCCGCAAACCCAAGCAGTCGGACACGACCAGCTACCGCCTCATCTGGCGCAAATGGCCCCGTATCTCTCGACGCGCCACTTGGTGGCTCATGCCTCTTGAACTCGCCGGCATTGTGCCCGCCCTGGTCCTGTACGGCCTCGCTCAACCCAACCTCTACCGCACCGATATGTGGCGGATCGGCTGGGAGCATCAGCTCAACTCCAACCCGGCCATCATCCTCTACGCCTACGCCAACCACCGCCCGCTTCCCCATGTCGCTTTCATTTGGACCCGGACGTGAGTTGCTCCCATCTGACCTGGTCGTCTCAATATCACTCTGACTGACATTGCTTTCCAGACTCACGGACTTTAATGTTGCCATCTCGGTCCTTTCTCTCTTCATGTTGCTCAGCAAACTCACGGCCTTCATTATGAAGGTCTGGTTCCCGATTCTCGCCACTTTCATCAACCTCTCCATGGTCGTCCTCTACGCTGTTAGCTCCTACGGTCAGATTGGCCCTGACTACGTCGACAAGCGGTATCCTGCTCCCGCTGCGTGGTATTTCCGAAAAGGATGCGACTTGGCAAAGCCCTACGGCATGTACGATTCCTGCAGACTTGCCCAGGGAGCTTTGGTTCCCGCCCTTTACTTGCTGTGAGTTTTCCCACCACTGTACTTGAGATGTTACCTGAAGCTGACTGCGAAACAGTGTCATTTACGCTCTCAACCTCGGCTTTGCCATTTACGCCATGATGCCCAACAAGGCAAACGACGTGGTCGACGACGAGGACGACGAGGCCTCCGCGACCTCCGAGCCTAAAGAGAGCCGCAACTGGGAAATGCAAAGCATGAAGTCCCCGATGAGCTTCCACCATCCTCCCTACACGCCCCGCACGCAGGCATTCAATACTCTGGATCGCCAGCTGCCGCTTCGGAACCAGCAGGGCCGATTCGCCTAAGCCGGAAAGCCAGTCCGGAGACGACGATGTGACGAAGGATTTAAAAAGGAGCCGCCCTGGAATTGGCGATCCTATGATACAGCGCGATGAGTGTTTGGAGGTTTCCTTGAGTTTATTGGGACTGGAGTTACGGATATTTGCGCATGGTATACCAGTTGGACTTTTGGGTGCCAGAGAGGCAATCGACCCTGAGAGATTTCTGCCATGGGACAACAACTTGACTTGTACATTTTCTTATTATTTTGCCTTGCTTAGCAAGCACCTCTATCATCCGTCTTGGTGTCGGCTGGTACGGCTGATGACGGTAAGAGTTGGAGTCCATGATGCTGGTAAACAAGCCGGCTGGGGATTCGATCAACCCACACGCACCTACACCGAACTGGTCCCTCACATATATAATGCATACATACCCAGTCCTTGCCCTCCCTCTGTGCATTGCTATCGCGAGACGTCTTGCCGCTTCGTACGCAAGTGTCTAAAAACCTTCCTTTCCAATACGTTAATGAGGATATGGCTTCTCCCAGCGTAGACAATACGGAGGAGCATATCGGCGTCTCCACCTCCGCTCTCCGCATCTTAGATAACCGGACCGGGACATCAACCGGCACCGGATCTCACGCCCCACCGAAGCTGTTCCATAAGACGTCACCCCGCCATCATCGTCGCAGGCGGAAACCTTCCCCCTCTGGACGGCCAGCGTCTCTCATCGTCTTGCGTCGTCGAATTGATTTAATCCCCTCCTTGCAATCGCAATTCCTCCACTAGTGACTTTGTCCTGTTGACCGTCATGTCCTTCCTCCGCATTGTCGCTCCGTCGAGGAGAGGAGCTCTCCGACACGGCCCCGGCATCGCTCTGATCCTGGCCCGCCGAGCTTCCAACTTGGCCCCTCCCAAGGTCAGTGTCGATTGTCGCATCGCCAGCTTCAACCGGGGCGCTGACAATGTGTAGCTCAAGGATCCGTCCCTGCTCAAAAAGGACGTTTGCTACGTCAACGGCGAATGGGTCGCGGCGAAGTCAGGCAAGACGTTTAAGGTCAATGGTAAGTCCGGCCCATCTCTTGCAATCCGCGTCGCGCTGCTCGCTTGTTCAATTGTCCGCGATACTCACAATTGAGTCAGACCCTTCCACCGGCGCTCTTATCGGCACATGTCCCGAGTTCGACTCCAACGACGCCCAGTCCGCCATCGTCGCCGCCGCCGATGCCTTCCCTGCCTTCCGCGCCAAGACAGGCCGTGAGCGCTCCAAGCTGCTGCGTGCCTGGTACGATCAGATGGTTGCCAATTCCGACGATATCGCCACATTGATCACATGGGAGAACGGCAAGCCGGTTGCGGACGCCAAGGGAGAGGCTTCATACGCTGCCAGCTTCCTGGAGTGGTTTAGTGAGGAGGCGCCGCGAGTCTATGGCAACACTATCCCCAGTTCGGTACCTGGGAACCGAGTTTGGACCCTCAAGGAACCCGTTGGAGTGTGTGGATTGATCACACCGTGAGCGATGGCACATTTTTCGATGTTGGTGGTTATAAACTGACTAGGTGACAGGTGGAATTTCCCGGCAGCTATGATCACTAGAAAGATTGGCCCTGCGATGGCCGCGGGTTGTACTGTGGTCTGCAAGGCACCCAGCGAGACCCCGTATACCTCCCTAGCCCTGGCCGAGCTTGCCCATCGTGCAGGCATCCCAAAGGGCGTCGTTAACATCGTGACGGCGATGCAGAACACTCCCGAAGTTGGAGAGCTGCTCACCTCGTCACCCACCATCAAGAAGATCTCTTTTACCGGTTCTACTGGTGTCGGCAAGCTCCTCATGAAGCAGTCTTCCGACACTCTCAAAAAGCTCTCGATGGAGCTCGGTGGCAACGCACCATTCATTGTTTTTGACGACGCCGACGTCGATGCTGCTGTCGCCGGTGCTGTCACCTCCAAGTTCCGTTCTTCAGGCCAGACGTGCGTGTGCGCGAACCGCATCTACGTGCAGAAGGGCATCTACGACGAATTCGTCCAGAAGCTCACCGAGAAGGTCAAGGCCTTCCGCGTGGGCAACGGTTTCGAGCAGGGCATCACTCATGGGCCTCTAATTCACGACCGGGCCGTTTCCAAGGCCGAGGCCCACGTTCAGGATGCCGAGAAGAAGGGTGGCAAGGTCACGGTTGGCGGCCAGCGAATCGCGGACCTGGGCCCCAACTTCTATGCGCCCACGGTCGTCCGGGACATGACTTCCGACATGGACATGGCATCGCAGGAGACATTTGGCCCCGTTGCCGGCTTGTTCCCCTTTGAGACAGAAGAGGAGGTGGTAAAGATGGCTAACAACACCAACGTGGGTCTGGCTGGTTACTTTTTCTCTCAGGACATCGAGCGGGTGCATCGCATCGCCGAGAGCCTCGAGGTCGGCATGGTCGGTGTCAACACAGGCCTGATCTCGGATCCCGCGTCACCCTTTGGTGGTGTCAAGGAGAGTGGTTTCGGGCGGGAGGGATCGCTGGACGGTATCGCAGAATACCAGGTCACCAAGATGGTGACATCCGGTGGAATGGGGAAGCCTCTGCAGGGTTGAGCGAGGGTGTTGAGCATTCAGCACACAGGTAGATCCCATAATCAATCATAATGTGAAGAAAGGAAGAGAAACTACAACCACAGAATTGGGGTATATGTTAAACAACCTATCGTGTGTCTAGTTGCGTGATAATCTTTCAGCCATACCGCTGGCTTTGGGCAGTGCTTATCCCCGGCGACGTTTAAAACTGCTTAAACTCCGAGTTGTGAAGTAACCATCTGCTATATATGGAAAGTTCAGTGCTGGACTTTCATTAAGTGCAGATGTTGTTTCTTATGGGGTTGCTATGCAATAGATGCGATCTTTTGCGACCACGATGGGCAGGCTGCCACCTTCACAAGCACTCCATATATTGAAATAAGGCTGAAATAAAACATCAACTAGTGCGGTCGCGTAGCCCAGAGGCCTAAGGCGTTTGCTTTACATCCGTGTACGCAAAAGATCGCAGGTTCGATCCCTGCCGCGATCATGTATTCTTTTTTTTTGCTTGTCTTGGTTCTGACATGAATGGAAACGGGTGGAAAGATTTTTTGCCCGTGGTTTCAGTGTTGAGGAAAGACTGACTAACATAGGCAATAGTGGAGCACCGTTTATTTGATATGCGAAGTACATATGTCAACACAGTCGCAAGCTTGAGAAGATTCGTTTTTCAGACACGTCCCATGAATGCAGAGGTAGCCGGTTAGTCTATTGGCTCCAACAGCAACAGGTTATTGAGGCCGAGTTGTCCTAAAATCCACAGGCGCTAACTTTCCGCCATGCCAGATGCTTCGAACCAACCCAGGCCAGGTACAGCATCGGCTATCTCTGCACCGATATTGAGTTTCTGTCAAGGTGGGCTATTTGCCTGAGAATTCTGACGACCACGTATGTAAGAATGAGAGAAGCGCACATTGAGAACATGAAAACAAGTAACTTTACCCGAAGCAAGCCTTCGTTTTCAAGAGTAGACAGAACGTTGCAGATGGCAAAGAAGAACTGTTGGCCAAAGTAAGCAAAAATGTCTGTGTTGATACCAACTGAATGCAAGTAGAAGATGCAGGACTTCCGTCATAGTAGTGACAGGGAACGGCTAGCACTGGTGTTGCATTACCACACGACCAAGGGACCTTCAGCTAATAGAAAAATGGCTAGAGCTTATAGATGCCTCTCGGGCTCAGTATCCTGGACTCGTTGTCTGCATCTCTGTTCTCCTTTGTGGGCATCACTGCGCTCGCTCTCTCTTCCTTATTCCAGTGTTACTTGCCGCAGATCACCGTCGTCGCGAGGTTGTCATGACGCTGTGGAAAATATCCAACCGTTTAGGATGAGTAGTGAATTCAGTTGCATTGGAATATACTCCCTTTGAGATGTTTTTCACCATGCCATTAGCTCTGCCACTCACAGCAGTCAGTATGAACAACACTGGTTGTAACAGCTCCTTGTGCGATGATGAGCGAAGAAACATGTCGGCAGTGCGTTTTCTGTAGAAACGAAAACAAGAGTAACTGAACATAGACGGAGAAGGTGAGAGCAACGTCGGTTTTCGCTGGAGTAAAAAAACACGGCGATACCTCACGAGTACACCCCCTCAACGTCTGGTCAGCAAAAGGGGCAAACCAGATGTAAAAAAAGCCCAGCACAACAACACAACACGGCAAAAATGCCAAAAGTACAAAAAAGGAAATCTGGTGATGCCTAGGATTGAACTAGGGACCTTCTCTTATGTTTACAATGAGGATGGCCTCGCCGCTACAAGCGGACAAAGCCTCGGACGATTCTATCGACCGCCTCTAATGCTGGGAAGAGACGCTCTACCACTGAGCCACATCACCTGGTTTGTTGGGGAGCGAAGAACTATTTTTGATATAAGAGGCTACGAAGCGTTTTGGGGAGGAGCAGGTGCTGGCGGTTTGGGTGGCAGGTGGGCAGGCGGCAGGTGTCGTGGTGAGTGCCTGGGGCAACCACCCCTGAGTCGCCAATGGCGAGTCGAGGCGGCTCTGTGGGAGATACATGACTAGCACGCAGACCAGGCCTTGACCCTTCATTAGAGAGCCGTATACGGGGAGTAGTCGTTTGTTTTTCTTGCCTTTCTGTTCTCTTACATACTTACCTTTCTAGTAGCTTCAAGCATGTGGTGGTATACTCGGTTCTGAAGTCTTGCTTCCTGCTGCTGTATCTCCTCAAAGAAGCTGACATCTTGTCTATACCACTGTATTTACACGGCCCTGTTTATAGTCTCAGCGTCGTAAAGCTCTGGGAATGGTAACTTTATGACAACTGGTTGCTTGCCCTGCCACCCCTGACACTTTGGCGACATGTCGTACTTTGTTGCAGTCAGAAAGCCCGCAAGAATAGAGTCCCTTAGGTCTTCGCCTACCAAGCGAGGGAAGGTAGAGAATATGACGACGGCGAAGTTGCTGAAGAGGATTAGTTAGTTCCATTTCTGGGGTCATCTGGACTTCTCGACACTGCCTATCCGTACAAGCCACTGGACCTGTTGTTTTGTTTCGGCCTCGTTGATCTAGTGATTAATATCCACCAGAAGCACGCTATTAATTCAATGCAATCACTCTACTCAAAGAAGCCGTAAAAAATGTAGATGTATCATCACATTCTTGATAGGACAAGGATGCGAACATTAAGAGAGCTCGGAGAGAGTGGGGATGCTTGGACTGGGCCCGGTCCATTACCCCACAGCAAGCTAGCAGCGGAGGTACGTACCGCAACACATGAAACGGTGAACTGACGTCGGAAGCTCAATTGCAAGGATTTCGACGCATCGCCAGACCTCACTTACTCCCCACCACAACAGCGACCATGGCCTTCCCACTAGCCAATGCGCCTGCGAGGCACTGTCTGCGCCTTCTGGCGTTCGAAGGGTATGTTTGTTTCTACATCTAAAGATGCTCAGAAATGGTAGACAACGAGCAGCCCGCCGCCGACCCTCGACTGACAGCCTCGTCCAGATCAGCTCTCCAGCGCATCCCCCGACGAAGCACACCCGCCGTCCTCCGCGCGCCGCACCCCTCCACGCGAAGCTTCAGCTCCTCCGCGCCGCTCCTCAAGAAGCGCAAGATCGCCATCCCCACCGACAGCCCCAAGCACCGAGACGCCGTGGCCAGCGAGGCCGCCGCGCCTCCGCAGTCGTCGCCCAAGGGCTCCCAACTCAACCCCGAAGACCCCCTCAACTTCTCCGCCGTCAGCTCCGCCTACGCGCCCATCGACACCCACTTCAAGGCCCAGATCGCCGGCATGATCCACGGCGGCCGCTTTAACCCGACCAACCTTGGCGCCCTCTCCATCGCCGTCAAGGACCCCGGCGCCGACGCCGCCGCCGTCTTCCCGCTCCGCGAGCTAGCCCAGGTCGTGCCCCGCTCCGGCCGCACCATCTCCCTGCTCGTCCACGACAAGGAATACATCAAGCCCATCATGTCCGCCGTCCAGGCCAGCCGCGAGTTCAACCAGCAGCCGCAGCGCTCCGAAGACAACGATCTGGAGCTGCTCCTCAAGGTCGAGCTCGAGCGCAAAGATGACGTCGCCCGCCGCATCAAGGAGACTATGCAGGCCTACCGCGAGCGCATCCGCCAAGTGCGCTCTCGCCACGAAAAGACCCTAAAGGATTGGAAGAAGAATGGCACTGTGCTGCCGGATATCGTGAAGCGGGCCGAGAAGGAGCTCCAGAAGGTGCAAGACAAGAAGATGAAGGAAATCGATCAAGAGGAAGCCCAGACGATCCGCCAGTTATGATAGACTTGGTTGGATGAAGTGTTTTGTAGAAGCCATAGTATCGACAAAAGTCGCCGAGACGGGCATATCAAGACTGCAAGTATGAAGCGTGAAACATTTGATGGGACGTTGTATAGTATATTACATATCGTGACAAAGTGTACACTGAGCTTTCTTCTCTAGATCCATCATTTCACGTTAAACCTGTGCCTTTGGCTTCGCTACCCTTCCGCCTTTTTTGGCCAACAGCGACGTCAGCTTGTTCTCAAACACATTGACATCGTTGGTCTTGTAGGTCTCGGCGCGGAGGTGCCACGAGCGAGCCACGCCAGCAGGATCGGTAGCAAACTTGGGTGTCTCGTGCTGGCCGTTGACGGCCTTTTCGAGGATGACCTTGCGAACGGCCTCCTCGGCGTCGGCGATGATGGGCGTCGAAGCCTGAGTCTCGCCATCGGCGGCCTCGGTGCTGTTCTTTTGCTGGAGGTGTAGCTCGGCAACGGCCTTGGCTTGGGTGTCGGCGAAGAAGCGCACGCCGCTCTCTTCGATCTCGGCGGCATAGTGGCGGGCCTGGAAGGCCTGAGGGGCGCCAACGTGGTCGGCCGTGCCGAGAATGCTGAGGTTTTGCAGGACAGCTGCCGCCTTGCCGGCAGCGCCAGAAGGTGCCGAGGGCCCAAAGTCGGACAGAGAGCTGATTGTCAGTGACGGGCTATATTTGGTGGCTGTGCCGAATCGGATGCTGTCCTCAAAGGCCTGCTCGTTAGGATCCAACCGTGCAAGATCGTCGCCGCGACCCCTACGTTCCTTGTCGTCGCCTTCCTTGCGCCCTCCTCTCGCTCCGCCGCGTCCCCTACCACCTCTGCCGCCTCTTCCACCTCGCCCACCCCGCGCACTGAAACCACCTCGGGCACCAAAGCCACTGACTCCGAAGCCGCCTCGGCCTCTCGAAACACCACCGCCGCGGTTGGGAGTCCAATTCGACCCTCCTCTTGGAACGAAACCTGATCCACCTCTAGGAGTGAAACCACCTCTCCCTCTCGCGTCCCCTCGACCTCGGCCATGGAACCCTCCGTCGCCGCGAGCTCCTCCACGGCCGCGAAACGACAGTCTGGGGAGGCTCTTCACATCCAGAACCTTGGGCGCGCCGGCCGGGCCAGAGCCCTCCTGGCCTTCTCGGGCCGGGCTGCGAGCTCGGGCGAGGGAATTGATCTCGGTGGTGACGGCACGGGAGCGATCGCGGACTGAAGGGTTCGAGGTGCCATTGTCGTCGGCGGCTTGCAATTGTGTCGTGGAGAATTGGCGGATGCAGGCTTGAAGAGCATCAGAGGCCTGCTCGAGCTCCGGCCTTGTTCGGCTACACACCGAACGGAAGGTGTGGCGTTGCATTATTGCTCGTTGTTGTGTGAGGTTGATGAGCGGGAGTTGGCTGCTTGGATGTCCAAATTTCTGCCATCGGTTGATCCCATGACTAAGCCGATGAAGCCCCGCCTATTGGCTGGATTACTCGACGCCACTGCCAGCTCATGACAAAGTCACATTTACATTTATTCCGTACAAAACCTCAAGTACAATTCTCGTTTCATGTAATTCCATAAACAATGACACCGCTGTATATGTTTGTTGAGCTTAATAGCTACTTGTTGTCTTTGAGACCAACGTAATGCAAGATCCACATATTTCCCGGCAGCAAAACACCAGCGCGGCACTCGTACATGGGCAGTTTCCAGCAAGGCATAGACCGCTTCTCATCGGTAGTCACAGGGACGACTGTAGCGAATGTACAGTGCGCCGTGAAAGGCACAGTCCAAGCCCGTAGAGACTCCCCGGGGTGAATGCTGGAGCCATGTCGTAGTGACATGAATCTCGCCTCCGAGTTGACCATTTCTGGCCGCTTGGTTCAAACAGTTACGTCTGCCCACTCGGATCAAGCCGAGGTCGATGCGGACCACCGCAACACGGTTTTCACCCCGTGGGCATGATGGACACATTCCCCGTGCTGAATAAACCCATTCCCTTCCGCTTGAAATCTTGCCCGTCGCAATTCGTTCCCAAAAGATGGACCTTCGGATTTTGTCCAGTTGTGTCGCTCCAAACCACGGCGTCCGACTCTTCCTGGGTTGCCCTCAGATCACCGTCCGTCTCTCATACGTATTAGAACACTCCCAGTGAGGGGAGTTGAGAAAATAATGCTTTGCACGTGCTTCGTGGCTGCATCCGGCGTCGCACTTATACGCTCTGAGCCGAAACCATGGCCGGCTGAGAGAGGTTAGCTTGAGTATCTATTGCCGAGAACACGGAACTTACCGGGCTGTTCAACATGTGCTGTCGCTTATTGCGACTCTTCTTGATGTGGCTCTTGAGAGCAGTCGAATCAAGGGGCTTGAGCAGCTCGAAGCTGCAGAGGAGCTCGGCAGAAACCGACATGACGGCGCCCCAGTTATCAAACTCGCCACAGTACTGTGCCAGGTTAGCGAATCCGGGGAAAGCGACGACGGGAAACTTACATTTGGAGCGCTGAAGACGGTGACCAGCACCCTATCGTTAAAGAATTCATATCCATCCTCGACAACCATATGCGCTCGACAGATGAGATCGAAATCATGGACCGCCAGGAAGTCGGTGATGACCCGTTTTCCAAAGCAGTAGCTTACTCCCCGCTCATTGGCTTCCCAGTCTTGCTCCATATCCGCAGGATCTGACCATAGGAGGTCGTTGAGCAGGCCGTAGTCGGGAACGTCGGTCGGCCGCGCAATGTTTCGGATGTCGTCCATGTGACTCAGTGCGGGAGAGAGACCGCCATGCACACAGAAAATCTTGCCGGCGACAATGGCAGCGATGGGCAGCGTGTTGAAGCAGTCGACGAATGTTTTCCAGATCTTAACGTTGCACCTTCGCTTGCACTCGTCGTAGAAGCCATACACTCGCGTGACGTTGGCACACTCGTGGTTCCCTCGGAGCAAGAAGAAGTTTTCGGGGAACTTGAGCTTATAGCAGAGGAGAAGCAAGATGGTCTCCAGCGACTGCTTTCCGCGATCGACGTAATCCCCCAGGAAAAGGTAGTTGGACATGGGTGGGAAGCCACACATTTCGAACATTCGGATAAGGTCCG